TTTTGAAAGAAGGATCTCCGTTGCTGGCCGCAATTAAATTGGAACAACAAACGGGAAAAGAGGATTGTAGAATTAAGACATGATTGTTGGTTCATTGTTTTCACCACTAATTGTCCAGGAATTCTTCCGTTACCATAGCAGAATATGGTTCGTGCTCCAATAACAAGGAATTTTGACGAACAATGTGCATATATATATACACTTTCTTGAACAGAGGAAAGAGGAGGGCGGTGCCCAAAAGGAGGCTTATGAATTACTAAGCAGCAACAGGGGTTGCATACTTGGATGGATTCTTCTTTATGCAAGGATGTTTGGAATTGATTCACACGTACCCATCCAAAAAATAAGTTTTTTCAATTGGTGTTGGGGGTGATCTTTTCTGTTTTTGATTTATGTTTGTACGAGCAGGAAGAACCATCAAGGCCTATGGTTGGGTAGAGGCCCTAGTCATAAATGAAATTTTTTATAAATTTTTGGGTCTTAGTGTATAGAGAGGAATTGTGTCGGGGGTCGTTATTTTTATTCCCCTGCTTTGTTTTGAGATGATGTTGACTTGGTGCACAATTTTGAACCGCTTTATTTGAGACTGGTGATGATTTAGATTGAGTTGCTTTAATTGCAATGTGTTGGAATATATGCTTATATTCGCATTTATTTTTGTTGATAATAAAAAAGGTGAATAACAAACTAAATAAGTGATTAAATAGATTTATTATTGTAATTGACTTGTTTGATTTTAAAATTTCACATTTTTATGTGTAAATTAAAGATAGAAAGAGAGAGAGAGAAAGCGTTTGCGTTTGAGATATTTTTAAAATGGTTTGTTCTAAGTAATTGACAGCCTAATATCTTTCTTCTTCTTCTTCACTGTGGCCTACTGTTTGTTAACATAATTTTGTCACTCTTGAAGATATCTTCGGCTTTCAAGAAACACATACATAACCTGAATTATTAGCACACACGAATCAATGAAAATGCTTCTTCCATTGTTGTTTACGAAAGGGTAGCTAGGCCTCAAAATTAATTGATTATTTTTTTAATTTTAGATTGTACAATGAAAGGTTTAAGTACCAGTTTGGTCCCTCAACTTTTCACTTTGGCACCAAAATTATCCTTCAATTTTAAAAAGTACCAAAATTATCCTTAAACTTTCATTTTCGGTACCAAAATTGTCCTTCTGTCAGTTAAATGGACAGGTGGCACGTTAACTTACCAGCAAATCAATTTTTTTTGCTTAACTAATGACATGGCACCTTTTTTTTTTTTTTTTT